TCTTCTATTTATTATTTATAACTTATTGAACTATTTACAATTAATAAAATTACACAAAACAGCTATAATCCGACAGGGTCTTAATAACGCTTTTTCTTAATCAAAGGCGGGGGAGGGGGTAATAAGTTTGTACCTATGATAGGTAACCTAAATATTATTTAAGTTACAGCCAGCTAAATTATACATGTTTTATATTGCAGTATACCAAGTAGAGCGGGCGGCGTGAGTCCGTCTGCGAAGGCGCAGCGGCGACGCGCGCGCGAGGGCGGTGCGGGGGAGGAGGACGCGGACGCGCGCGCCGCTCGCCGCGCCGCCTGGCGGGCTGCACGCCTACGGTCACTAGAACAGGTAAAACTTATATGTCACTATATTTTTATTATATGTTGCAGATTACTTTGTTTATATACTACATTTTTACACAAGCATGTAAGTTCGTTTTATGTAAATGAATTGTATGTATGTAAGTTCCATTGTGAAGTAACGGCCTACAATCTAATTCGTATCGATTATAACGATGTGTCATTTGATTCGTCTTCTCCGGAAGGTCGTAGGGTGTATTACATTGGCGAGAAACATCTACAGTTGTAGTGTGAATTGAAATTCTTGAAAGTAGTAAATGAACTGAGTTTGAATCTCACTCGACGTAACTTTCTTTTCCAATTATTTATTCGTTAATTAAAAATTATGAGGAACATTTGCAGGTTTAATAACTACCAAAGTATATCTTGTATTTTTTAATTTATTTGTATTTTCATATTTGCGATCATCAGGAAGCAATAGAATCGCAAAAGGTTATAAAAAGTATGACCGGACCGGCGACTGAAATCATAGGAGAGTTGCCGACCAGAGATAGATCCCCGTCTGAGGTATGTCACAACAGATTTGATAGCAACCGTATTAATAAAAAAATACTAATAAAATAAATATCATTGATGGAAAAAACGACACCATAAGTTGTTGAATTTACAAGAATATCAATAAAAGGTTTATTTTATGTCGTTTTCTTCATCTCATAACTGAATGTGAACGCATAATCCTTGTTTGTGTAACAGTTAACATCGAATGGTTATTAACACATGTCATACACAATATCCAACGTGTTTGCAAGACGCATTTAATCCATGATTACATTACTCATAGAAACATTGCTAATAAAGATCCTTAGTTAATATATTTATTATGTTGATATAACATTGTCCTCGTGTTGGGTAGCTTTGCACTCGTGTCGTCCTCGCACCGGGTTGTTGTGATTGTCAAAGATTGGCTTTACAAATTGTAGAAATGGCCCCTGCCGCGTATCGCGTTACGTACAAAGCCGGGGCCGATACTTGCCGTCAAGGAGAAGGAAAAGTTGTTAGACGAGAGAATAACGCTGCGCACGGAGGAATACGTGTGCCCCGCCACGGGCGACACTAAAGTCCGCACCGTCGAGTACATTGAGAAAGTCATTGAGAAAGAGGTATAGCGAATGTACATTACGCCTTACAACGCTGTACAGTGCCCACGTGTGTGGTTTCTTGTGGATACCGACAACGCTTCAGCTTTTTATGACGCAACACATTGACTAGTTAAAGACTGGACTGATCATTCACTGTTTGTAATTGTATAGGGAAAAGGTCATTTATTTGAAATCACTGACAGTATCAGAAACGCTTTTCGTTCGTTTTTCGTTGTACCATATCGATTTATTTGTTTTTTTAGGAAACGTTACTTTTAATATTGTTTCTTTGGTTATGTTTTATACTAGATTACTTCGTGATCTTATTTGTAATATACACACGATATACGGAAAGTATTACCAATTAACAGAAAAGCACTTTTTAAATCGGACATGACTGTACTGACTTTCTTAAAATCGTTGATTTACCTCCGCCTACGCACATAACTATAATCACATGGCTCCCGCGACAGACACACATACAGATTGCTGAGTAGTTAGACAACATAACACACTCCCGTAACTTAAAAGGGTAGGCAGAGATTCTACAAGATAACAAATGAAAATCGTACGCATAAAAATTGATAACCGTGATACGTAGATATAAGAATATTTCGAACGGCAAAAAAATCTCGTTACTAATCTATATGTAGATGGAAATTTATAATCTCTGCCTACCCTATTGTTAGATGTATGTAGTCGACACAAACTAATTCTTTGACGTGGTGGTTTCATTTGTTTTTGAATATTTATGTACAACTAATATTTGTTCAGTGTTTTTCGTTTTATAATTTAAGTATAGGATCAATGTCGTGTGTATATTGTCTTTGTTTGTTAGGTCCAGTACGAATACATTAACAACTTCCAGGTTACTTTTATATATTTTTTCCTTGTTAATATGATGATATTTAAGTTTTGGTCGAGATATTCTTAACTCTAGATTTTTGTACTCATTTTCAAAATTATTATAGAAATATGGAAGTAAGCTTAATGTATTCGTGCTTTTATGGTTATTATATTGTATTCTATTTATATATTTATATACGTGAGTGTTGCATGATACTTTGGCATGGCATGCTAACATATTTGTGTATCATTTGTCAGACTATACCTGGATTCTAGACACGGCAACTTCACCGAAACGAATGGTTTGTTGCATTTATACTTTACGCTTTCACTCGATGTGTATTTTTTATATTCGAATATTTTGCATGTAACACTTTTTTATCTTTGTATATAGAATTTAAATGAAATTGTAAATTTACATATTAACTACAGATTTTAATTATTTCACAATAATATTTCATGATTTTGTAAAATAATTTAATCCAAAAATTAACAATTTTGTAAAAATTTAGTTTTATTTTTATAAAGTATAAAAATAACACGCTTTTATCACAAATATCCCTACAACATGGGTCTAAAAAAACTGTTCTAATGAAATGTTTAACATAGGTGGAGACGACGCAAGAGAAAATTATATCATTAGAGTTGACGACAAGCCCCAGCAGTGAGATCGCTCCCACCGATATGGAGGGCAACAACCTAGGAGAGGGGGAGGTGGGGGAGGACTCCCTGCAGCCCGACATCGTGCAAGTTGTCAACCCCCTACTGGACGGCGGCCGGGGGAGAGTCACCGCCATCCCTGTCGGGCCCGCGCACCGCCTCACCCCCTACACCGACAAACAATAAACGAAATTGAATAAACCGCTTAGTGGAAATCACCCTTAACATTGTCAGATACTGGTCTCTAATATTCTCCGTACTTTACCTGGCGATTATGACATTTTACACAGTTATGTGTATAGCCTATCCTATTTCAATAGAAACTTTCCGTCCGAAGTTGTTACAGATTATGTTTCTATCCCATTGTTTGATCCACATGAAGTTTTCTGAGGTTTATCAGTCATTTTATAGAAAATGTTTACCTTTTCATATTCGCCACCCTGTTTTACCCATGACAACGCATCGGCTAACAAATTGAAATGTTCGACTCGATCGTAGATTTCTTCAAACGAACGACAAAAACGAGCATACATCATTATTTTGTATTATAACTGTGATAATATTGTTTAGAATTCCACCGAACTTTTAAAACTAGAAACGGCAACAAATTGAAGAAATCAACCAACGAGTGAGCACCGAACGCGGATTGTATACAAAGGGGAACTGATCTTGAGTAAAAATTAGCCGATAAATATCTTTCTTTACCACTAGGCGGCATTTTATATTAAAATTCTTTTTTTATTTGTGGGATAATTCAATATTTTATTAGTTTAGTTAGAAGTAATTTCCATAATATGTACAGTCGTGACGAAAAGTGTTTCGATAACATTTTCCCTTTGTATATAATCCGTAGCAAACATTGTTATTGGACATTTTGATTCGATCACAATTTTTATTTTTTTATTGTAATTTTGCGACGGAGATTTTAGGTTTTAACGGTATCTATTTTGATAAATGATATTGTTCTTCGAGTACTTTACGTATTTTTAATATTAAATTAATTTTCATTCCGTGGAAGTTTTTTAAAATATTTTGACTGAATGTTTTTATCTGTACCTGTCGAGTGGAAATTATTGTGAGTGATTGCATGCAATAAATTGTATAACATGGTACTTATAGGTTTTGTAAGTGTACATACCAGCGTTGCAGAGCGTGTACAATCGCGTACAAAAGCGACATCGTCACACTATCTGTTCAGGTATTTTATCCATTTGGAAATTATTTCATCTTTACTATAAATATAGAATTTATTCAATATAATTTCAGAATTGACATTAATTTTCGTTCAGTATTTGTTTTATCGGTGTATTATTTTTTTATTTAATGTTTTAAATTTAATGTATGTATGTGGTGCCTATTTTCGATAGTTCTAAGTTTTACCAACATTTTCTTGCATAATTTTATTTTTTCTTGAACGTTTTATGAATATAGTTGAATTGTATTAAATTATGGAATGAATCGAATTTTTTCCTGGCAACAATTATTTTCAATGGTATAAAATTTTGTTGATTTTTTTTTGTAATTAAGTAGTTTGAATTATTTAAAACGGAACTTTGGTATTTGAGATGGAATGAATGAAATGATTTTGCGTGTCCTTTATATCTTTTTAAGGTTCTAAATATGTGAATTGTAAACTAATGAAAATATTGTATGTTTGCCCTAAATAAATGGTTTAATATATATTTTAATAAAATACTTTAATAGTTTTATTTCGAAGAATTTTAATTTTTATGTACCTATACCAAAAGGTATGCAGACATTGCCAAATAACAATTATAGGATTTTATTCCTGTACAGGTTATCAATTTTTCCTATTTAAAATTTTTTCTCTCAGTTTGGTAAAGTTGTGAATTAGGAACATTTTTTCCATTTTTATAACCAGTCACGTTTTTGTGGTACACTTTTTTAGTTTCGGCCATCAGTTCCATTGTTAGATATCGATTTCAACCAAATAGCTAGTACAAGGTGACAAAAAAATCTTTTTACAACTGGTTACGTTACCTTGGTTAAGAAAATGAAACAAAGGGATTTTATATTATGAATAAATAAAAACGCATTATCGTTAAAACTTTAATAAACTAAGAATTAAGCAACAGTATAAGACAAACAATGTCTGAATAAAATTGCACCCATATCTTACAAGAAAATATATCCATACAGCCATCGCCTTTATTTCTTTGGAGCAATAATTCCCTCCAGTTGAGCCTGAAACAAAATCAATACATTATTTCGCTTTCAAATATAATCAGACATTATTAGCACCTAAGGAATTAGCCAAAAAAAGAATGAAAGTAGCTCGAAAGTCGGCATTAAACGAGTTTTTAAGAAGTTTAAGTGATTCGTAACCTTCAGTTGAGCATTTGTCTTCTTCAAAGCTAGTAATTCTTCTTGATGTCTCTTCTCTTCTGCAGCCCTCAGTTCTGCGGCGCGGCGCTCCAGCTGCTCAGTCTTCTGTTTGAGCTCAGCGCACAGCTTCTCCAAACTCGAACGTTCCGATTCCAACTTTGCTACTTGGTCCAAAAGGTCGGATTTTCCTTGTTCCGACTGTTACCAAAAACAGGCAAACAAAAACATATTAACATTAACTAGAACTACATTAAAAACTATTTAAAGAGACGCCAATTACGACATACTGTTTAGACCTACAACTACTTGAGTGCTTGTAGATGTTGCATGTTCCTTTCAACGGCGTCGCTACAGTGGCATCTAGTTTTAAAAACTTAAAAAGAATCTTAGTGAACCTGCAAGGCTTTCCTCATGCCGAATGCGATGGAGCTGCAATAGAGAGTCTGGTATGCCTCCATAGTGATGCGCGCCTCGTCTCGCACGCGTAACAACAGAAGACCTCTCTCGCCACAGTTTATTGTTACCTGTAAAATATATCAAGGTTTACACTTGATGGTAAATAAAAATCTTCAAAACATTCTACTGGTATACCTGTCGTATGAGTTCGTCGAAGCACTGAGTGTAGAGTTGCCTGCGCACAGGGCAGATGCCGGTTTCACGTGCTTGTCGCTGCTGCAGCCGCGTGTCCAGTAACTCCTGAAGGTTGATCACGTCCAGTCGCGTCGCTGGCGTTGATGATATCTGCACACAACATCTTACCTTATAGCTTTATCTTATTATTAGTACATCCTTAATTAAATCAATCTGTCCATTTCTGTGAGTTCGACACGTTGTATAGAATAGCAATCTTGGTCTCGAGGAGTCTAACCTAATTTTAGAACTGTAATTTTTATGAGGTATAAACTGTTATATCCGAAATCCAGACTCACACAATCAGCCAATTCTTTCTTCAATATTCCTTTGCTAGATCTATAGTGATGAGACTTTATTCTGTAATATAAATTGTGTTTAAAAAAGTAAACTTTATACGTACTTTTTGCGTCCATATCTGGCCATCTTCTTCCCATTCCTTAGGCGGTAGGATAGCGTTTAGTATTTCTTCCGTCTCACGCTTAGCTTCGGTAGGCACACATGGCTCTATTGCGTCTCCACGAGGAGAAGGCTGTAGAAATAAGATACAAGAGTAAGTATTCCGTTGAATCTCATATGCACTGAAGAGAGAAGAAAAAACAACTTACGATTGCTTCAGGTTTTTTAGAAACCAGCACCGGATTATCGTAACGCACTAGCGTGTCTTCTGCCGTCGTTGTGATCCTCTCTGCCATGGTTAGTCCACAATATTGTAAATATTATATAATTATTTGATATTTGCAATCAAAATATCACAAGGAATATATGACGTTTATAAGACAGATGAGTCCGTTGCTATGACAACGGTTAATAATTGCGATATCTTGATTATAGGTTCAGTAACCAACATAACCATACCTGTAACCCAGTGGGGTAAGCAGACACCATCATTATTATTCGTTAGCAACGCAAATACAACATTGCGAAATCTGGAATTTTACTTTCAATATTGCATATAAACACCGATTTTATTATATCTATAGATGTGACCATGCATAAACTATAATAAGTAAACTTATTATTTTCTTTGGCTCCTTTACAAAAATCATCTTCAATCACAGATCTTCGAGTGAAATAATTTCTAGCCTCATCAAGAACTTGTCTAGACTGGCAAGACAGTTGAAGGAATACTTAAATAAAAATATTATGTATTTTTCTTCATATTCTGAAGAGTTATTCAATTGTGATTTCCCATTAACCTTAAGCCTGGACAATTTTTTTAATGTTACATACATTACCAAGTGTACAACTTTTTTATATTTACTCCAGTAAAAACCATAAACATAGATTGTACAATTTTATTACTACAAAGAACTAATTAATATAACTTAATATAAAAAGATCTTATAACTTTATATGTAAATTAATAAAGCTATTTTAATTTTTGTAATATCTATTGCGAATCACTGCTGGAACTGGAACTTGAGTCAGTGGACATAACTTCAACATCCTCTTGATTGGGAGCGTCCTTGCCGCGGCCATCTATTGCTACCGAGTTCCCTCCCCCCACTGTCATATGCAGCTCCCCCGATGAGTGCCATGTGAACTGGTTTGATGCTGACGCTGGTACTACAATTTTAAATTTAAACATAACAACTAATAGGTAAGTGGTAGGCAGGGACTATGGTATAACGGAATTTTAATGAAATTTTGATAAAAACATCTAACAGGCACAATAACAAATGTGAGTTATTTTGTCTTGAATATAATGTTAATCAATTATATTAGTTGTATTAAAAAATTAAAATCTGTTAGGTGACAAAAGTCATCGTAAATTTGTAATCCAAGTATTCATATAACAGAAAAAATATATTTAACTAGCTTTCGGCCGTGACTCCGTCCGCGTGGAATTGAAAAAAACAAAACTAAGTAGCCTATGTGTTCTTCCACACTATCCTCTACGTCTATGCCAAATTTCATAAAAATCCGTTCTGCCATTTAGGCTACAAACACTAACAAACATCCATCCATCCATCTAAACTTTCGCATTTATAATATTAGTATGAAGAATGATTACAACTATCCAAGCATGTAAATGTATGTCAAAGATAAAATAGGTACATAATTGACCAGTATGTATTAATATATTATCATACAAAGTGCAAGGAAAAATACAAATAATGATACTGACCACATTTATAATTTGTTTACTTGGAAATAGATATGAGTAACACATACCTCCACCAGTGGTTATTCTATGCAGTTCATTTAATGTGGATGGTGTGTGACCATTTAGAGGTAGATCACAAAGTCTGCCAAGCATTCCTAATCTCATTTCAAGATCAGTTGGATATGGCCTCCGAGGATCTCCTGGCTGCCAGGATAATGGTGCACTGACTGCATTTGATGCACTTATTCTAGAAGGAAGAGTTATTTAAATCAAGGTAAGATCACTAAATAATAAAAATACTACCTACATTTTAGTAACATAACATTTCAAGACATTTAACATACCTGTGAGCAAATTTTATCAATTCTTCCGAAGGTACCGGCCTTTTTCTTGACTTGACTATAGAAGCAAGTTTTTGTCTTGCCTGATACAATGATGTAGCTAAAATTTGTTCAGCATCTTTTAACTGTCTTTGTAAATGATGTATATCTTGATCCTGTGTGGCAGACATAACAAAGGATATTTTATTTCCTAAAAGAGGTTAACATGTTTTAATATTAGGATAAGGAGAAAGAAGATGTGTACCTTATTGTCTACTTCAGCCTTTAGTTCATTCATTTTCTGTTGTATATTAGCTTGTTGATCAGCTAATTCTAAAGTCTTTTTCAATTCGACGTCTTTAGCAAGCAGTAAATCAGTCAATTGTGCATGGTCAGCAGCTGATAATTTTTGAGATTTCGGCGCTATTGAGACCTCTATCATCTCTCTAAAAGCCAAGGAACATTTTAGAAACGATTACTCTATTGAAAACCAATGCAATTTGAAAATAACTTACTTGGCTATTAGTTCCATATCGTCGATTATAGATAACAGTCTGTCCTTGGTGCTTAAATGAGAAGCCATTTTATTATTAAAAACTTTTGTATCTCTTCTAATATTTATAACATTTGAATTTCTTTTGACTGATTTTTAATTTGATTTTGCTTTGCAATTGCAATGTTCCGTTTCGATTTGTTTGACATACGTTTTTGACAATGACACTGACAAGTGACAACAAAAGAAATGAAACAGATAAGTTTCACTATTTTCTATACAGATAATAAAGTACGCTGACGTCGTCTTGTTAAATCACACTCGGAGTCAACTCAGAGTCCCAAAATTTATTTTGTTGTGACACCGTAAAACTTTGAAGATATGCAATCATCATTACATACCTGAGCATAATGTAAAATTGAGCAAAGTTTGTTCTTATACCTTAATTGAAACTATTTAACTGTTGTTAATCATTTTCTGGTTCAATTGATGCAATCACTACAAATGAAAACAATATTTATTGTGTACATGATCATTGTAATAATAGTTACAAGATATTAATAATCACTGTTAAAACTGGCAAAATCACTATAATACCAAGTAATAATTTCGTAAATACAATTTGATATTACAATTATAATTTTCAAACTGTGCGGAAAAGATTGCTAAAATCAATTTTAATGTCCAATAAATTGCTTACAAGGTGATTTTATCTTCCTATAAATAGGCGTGAGAAACAAAATTGATTTCTTTTGTTATAAGATTTGTTGAATCTTTTTTTATTTCAGATGTTCCCATTAACTTTTAAGTAAGTACCCATTGCTGTACTATTTGACCGTCTTTTAAATTTTCATAAATATTATTCAATTCATAATATTCAATTTGCCTTTATACAGCACCTTTATACAGGAAATAACTTACATGGACTTAAAAACTAAAGATCCGACGTACTTACCTACTATCCATGCATAAAATATTGATATAGCCGTAAAGTGTCTATCGGCCCAACGAAATCTCCGTTAAGGGACTCTCTTAGTGACCAGTGTAAAATGTCATCATAAAAATTCACATGCAAACATTTTCAGTAGAAGTATAAAGATGTCTCTTATTTATTTATTCGACATAAAGGTATCTTTATGTGTATGCTGTACATACAGTGGACATTCAATTTTTGTCCACTTAAATGTTTCCTGCCATGAATCGGTTATTAACGAGTACAAAGGATTATTCAATCAGCTATCTTCAGCTCGGGCAGTTGATGTTACATAACAGCCATATTGACCCAGTTGTACCTATCACCATCGTGTTTTATAAACAACTAGAACTTGAATAGCACCTATGTACATATATTTCATAACAATATAAAACATAGTTAAAGTTAACGTAATCATGCTTCATACTTTTCATACTTAATATTATGAATGCGAAAGTTTAGATAGATGGATATTATGAAGTTTGGCATAGACGTAAAGGATAGTCTGGAAGAACACATAGGCTACTCACTTTTTTTTTAATTCCACGCGGGCGAATGCTTACATACTTAAGTCTAAATTTAAAAAAATGAAAAGTAGACTTTAATCTGTGACCTGTTTATTTTTTTTATTAACTAAGTAATCGTTATTATAAGCATAATTTAAAAGCGCATACTAACTAAAAAAGAAGTTGATCAATACTAAAATATCACTTACTAACCAAACATGTCGGGTACGTTCTTCCTCGAACGTGTGAAAGCAATTTAAAATTTCTGCTTACCTACATAACACAAGTAATACGAAACAAGTTCTTGACTTGCGCATACTTTCTCAGTAGCCTTACCTTTTGTTTCCCATTGTAGAACACAAAACAATGCATAACAATGATAATAAACAATAACAAAACTAGACATCTCGTATACTGTAAATAATTTAAATGAGTTTTTTAATAAATTTGAAGTAAAACCGATTGGAATAATCATCATTATTCCAATCGGTTTTACTATTACATCATTATTCCAATCACTGCTTGCAAGATATTCCAATGTTAACCATACAAACACAATATAAAATTACATATATTTACGCATCCTTTTTTTTTTTATTTATTATCATGATGAATTATTATTATCCTCTATTTTCTGCGAAGGATGTTAAAAAACTATTATTTTATCATGCGCGGTGCAGCAAGTTTTAAACCAAAGTGAATGTTCAAAATGAAAAGATGTCCGAATTTAGCTGTAGTTTGATTTGTACTTATCCACTAACAGCCTTACAAATAAACGCGTTATAAAGTTAAACTTAGAAATAACCTGAGTATAAGCAAATATTAGTACAAATTTTGCTAGTTAGGGTCTAACGCAATACCTAACTTAAAGGCGTCTAGTAAACCTCGATATGGCTTGATTAACTTGATCATATTCGCAAATAGTTTGCATCAAGATGTATCCGAATTTGATACGTCTTAAAAACAATGAATAACGTAATAGTTTAGAGAAGTTATTCCTTGTAAATAATAAATGCAGTTATTTGTTTACTTGCACGCAATGCTTCAATGCAGGCGAGCGGTGATTTGGCGAATGGCGCACGAACCGGCTCTTGCACGCTGTGGGTTCGTGATCGCCGGCCGCGAGGGACAAGCGGGCATGCGCGGAGGGGGAGCCGACAGGCACGCATTGAGCATGCGCTCTACACGTGCTCATGGGCCTTTATTAGTGATCTTACTTCCCCTGCAAATAATTTTATATTTCACAATGTGTATTTATTTTTGTTGGTTTTTATATTGTAGACGTAATTTTAAAAGGGAAAATGTTAGAGACGTGCTTAACTTTCATTATTCGATACCTACCTACTTAACGAAAACCTATTCATACAAAATGCATTTAACAGAATGTTTTTGCATCCATTTAATTATATATTACTGATTTAAATAAGTGTAAATCTATTGTTAGAAAACAGCGTCAAAATAAGTTTAAAAATGAATTGAACATAGTCTAGCATTTGCACAGTAATAAAGCATCAATGACACAGACTGCTTGAAAATCAGTATGCAAAGTGACATTGCTCAGTTAAAGTGAAATAATACTTGATTAATTTTAACTTTGATAACCTTGTACAACAGTTTACGGACATACGTTTAAATAAAAAAAGTTGGAATTGCTAATTTTTATAGTATTTCATATTTTTAATTTAAAATGTTCGTACGGTAGATGTTATTTTACTGCTCTGTGGCATAGCGTGCAGTGTTAGTGGGGAGGGCTAAACAATTCGATCTCTCATTGAATCAACTTCGTATGTCGGTTGTGTTACGTCCTAGTGCAGTGCAGGTTTGGCAGTCGAGGTGAAATCGGCTCCTCTGCCAATCTAATGGAACATCGTTCCTACGAAGTACCACCGGCGACCGTACTAAATATATCAAACATTCGTCACAAACGCGACAATTGTAGAAAACAACAAATCCTGTTGTTGCTATTATGTTGTTTAAACGGATCATTGAAGGAAAGTCGATGTTGAACTCCGATGTCAAGGATAAGTCACCGGAGAAATGTTCTAGAAGGAAGTCGGAATGCGACGGCTGTGGAGAACATTCCACGTAAGTAAACAAAAAAGAAATTACCACATCACAGCGAGGATATTAACCAAATGGGTCATCACTTTGTTGATAAATTTGGATTGTTCTGTTTATTAGCATCGGATCAGATGTTTATAATGACTAAAATGGTATGAATTGGTAGGTTATTTACACTTTTATGTTTGTTCTTTTAACACTAACTGATTGGTGTTAACTACAAATGTTAGCATGTTCTAAAAAACCATTATGTTTAAAAATGGCTTTAATTACTGACGAAAATCTTGTACGAAATATTTCCATCCCCTTCATTCTCATTGGCAAAAAAGAGTTACCAATATAACTTCTTAACTGCAGTTTTAATACGTCCATACCGGTACAATTTTTCATGTGAAAGTGAACTTACGAAGTTGATGGCAATAAAAGTATTAAGGATATAATTGGCTAACTATTTAGCACATTGACAATAGAATAACAAAAACAAACAATACATTATCTTAAGAATATTTTATTTGTAATACAATTAGGTATGAAAATGATAAGGTCTAATTCTATGATTTTATGCCAGGTGTTTATAGGTACCATTCAGCCATAAACTCCACTGTTCTTTTATAAGTTGACGTAAACATACCTGACCTAATAATTTGAACACATTGAATTCTTGGCCTTCAGCCAAAAAGTTTGTCCTTTCTTCGCTTACATCAATGGGGTTTTGTATTAAAGTTTTGACAGCGTAAACCATTATTCTAATACGTTTGGGACCATAATATTGCTTATCTCAGATATAATATACGTCGGCTTTGTGAGGTCATTTTGTTTTACAGAATGTTTCCACCGAGTCATTTGACTCATTAAGCTTACGAGCTCAAGGTAATTACGAACAGATAAGCTTCTTAACCCTAATGGGACGGTAGACGATAAAACATCCATCACCAATCTATTCGGTTATTTTGTATGGAGGTTTAGAAATTATGGATACGATATATGATATATGATAACTGTGCTAACACTCTTGTTGAAAATCATCAAAGTCTTGTTCTCTTTGAAGAACAGAGACAACTTTGCATCCCTACCTTCATAAAAATCGATTCGTTACTTGAATGATTACTTCATATATACATTTCTTATTTGGAAAGCATGGGAAAAGAAAGGGGAATTGTATTGAGAAGGATGTCAGATATATTTCCTGCTCACGCGTATTACCGGTAATGCATCTGAAGTTCTTCTAGTCTTGTGGATGTCAATGGTCGTTGGACATCCTTTAGGCGTTTGCCCCCTTCTTGTATGTGTGGATTTAAAGAATTTATATGTAACATCTGTTATGTGTTTTGTTTGATCTTTATTTCGGTAACAGTGTTATGTGTATTGTGTAACGCAAACACTAAGTTCCAACGCCATAGAGTTCCTTGTTTAATAAACTTCAGTGTTATTCAATATGGAATTGTTTTCATACATTCATTGTGCAGTCTTGTATTTTGTAAGCTAGCACTGTTCTTTATAAATATTATGCCTTTGTTATTTCTTTCCGCTCCTTCTCTTGTTTAACTTTTGTCAGAATGAATTTAAACAAATGATCATCAAGTGGAAAACGCCATCGCCATTGAAATTCCACTTTTTTAATGAATTCGTAAATAATGTTGCTTTTTGTTACATAATACGATAGGCGAGTCATGAAATTGGTAGGAAATAGCGTCCACGGTAAATTCACTATAAATTGTACCGATTACAATTTTCTAAACAATGTAGCCGTGAGTTTTTGGTATCAAAAATTTCATACCATCATTTATCTCTCTAATTTTCTCTGATTGAAAGTAAAAAGTAAGGGAACGATAACTTTAAACATATAGCAGTGGAAGCCAACGTTAAGGCAAGGCCATTGAACTGTTATATTCAATATCATACCTTATTTGCATAGTAAGGAAAAAATAAAATATTTACAATATAGTTCGAAGGTTTCGAAAGACTGTTGAACCTTGTTCACCTACTTTGGACAGGAAGGAGTGAAATGCAATTTTTTAATACAACAAAATATATTTTTTCTGCAGTGAGAACCCACGGTTATTCGCCACCTAAATGTTCACGTGGCGTGACACTCATATTGTAACAGCTTTTTTAATTACATCAATTATTTCATGAGAGCAATCAACGGTCACATTGTTGTATGACGAATATTATAACAAACGTTATACTCGTAATTTTCATATAAAAAGTAAAATCATAATTGAATTAATTCAAATAAATGATTTACCAAATGGAAGTCTGAATATCAGAGATCTTTGCATTTTTTTTTAGAATTTCCGGACAAATATTAAACGTCACTATTTTTGACGACAAGCTCTTGGCGCAAATTTTTATGACAGATACGTCAGAAATATGAAGTGATGGTTCAACGAATATAAATATTTAAAAAATATTTAAATATACACAGTTATTTTAAGAGAACAGTTTATTGTTAGGAAGCAATAACCTTGGAACAGCCACATTTTATCATGTCGTTAACAACACCATGTTAATGGTCATGTATATCTACAGGCATCGGTATAAAGATGAGAAACCTTATTTTAAACGTTAAAACCATTCTTTTTTTTCTTCATTTGTGGTAGGTGCTTGGAATTACTCTGACATAGGTATTTGTAAATATATGACTTACCACTGAAAAGTTATTTCTCCTTCCTCAATTATTTTTTTTTTTAATTTCTTACTTATTAGCATTTTAAACTGTGAGAATGTCTACACAGACTCAATCTCAAAGCAACTATAAGAAATAGCATACAATCAGTTGTAAAATAACCTTCTTTAATCCTCTGGGCTTTACCCAGTCATTTTTCCAGTTTAAAAACTTTCTGGGTTTGTTTGGTACGTCAGATTACTTTCCCCAGAATGGTCTAACAATTTCCCCGACATACTTAAAAGATGTTTGATAACGTTTGTTTTCGGCTGCTATCATTATTTACATTACAGGGAAAATCGAGAATCACATTAAACTAATAACAATATCAGTAAAATAATAATGTTCAGAAGTAATCAGTAAAATCTTCATATTATTTGTTTACATATTTTACGTCAAAACACAACGATTTTTTCTAAGTTATTTTTGCCAAGATTGGGGCGACCCGCCTTTATCTCAGCTATTGTTGTAGATGATGACGAAATCAACAATAAAGTGCATTAGCGAGAATCTTAAGGTCACAATATCAAGGGTCTCCAGTGATAACCTAATGTTATGCCGGACTTATATATCGTTTGTCCATACAATCTTTGCCAGTTTAAAACAAACGCGTCTTAGTTGTATACACGCTGGCGAATAGTATACTTCAAAGAATAAAATTTGTGATTAGTATGATAAGTGAACGTTTTCGTGTTCGCAGTATCTTGGAAGAAATGACGAAGATGGTGTTACTGGGAGTGGTTTTGTGGGCCGGCGTGACATTCGGCACCCACGTCGCCCCCTACCCGCTCAATCTGATCGTTAGCTCAGG